AAATAAAATATTAGTGAATTAAATATTAAAATAATAAACATATTTTATTTTTATGATTTCTGACTTTTTTTGTTTTTTTTATGAAAAAATATTTTGGTGAATTAATATAACAATAAAAAAGAATAATTAAAATAAAAAGGAGAGTTAAAATAAAAATCTAAATATGCAAACCATGGGGGGTTTCTGCCCAATTAGGAGGTATGTGTAAGGAATTAGGCCCACTGAATTCAAGGCCTGTTTGACTTTCAACGATCACGTGAGACTCAGTTGACCAACGCGCATGGTGAGCCACCTTTGTGGCCTTCAGATCAGAACCCATGTACACTTGGCAAGCCAGGAGATGAGGTTGTATAATGGTCCCTCATGAGCATACTGCATAGAAACATGTTACAAGAAAAATTATTGAATAAAGTGGGGGACCTGGGAATCGAACCCAGGTCCCAATACCTGCATGCCAGCGCATTTACCAACCGTGCTATTGAGTTTCTTTGATATCACACTGGACAATGAATAATATATATGAAAAACTGCTTGTGGCCAGAAAAACGCGCTAAATTCAAACTGTCCAATCTGGCTGAGACACGCCTATCTTCTTCTTCGTTTTACCTGAAAATACAAGATAGATAGCGGGGGTTTTAAACCCCCACTAACCCTAAACCTGAAAAATAGCGAATGGCATATAATCAAAAAGAAAAAGGGCGCGATGGGTGGATTCCGTTCGTTGGGAGGTCCTGATTCCAATAGTATAGGTTTGAATGGCCAATTGTTCCATATGAAAGAAACCCCAAAATTAGAGCTTTGAAACCCTAAGCAACGTTCATGGTGAATTCGTGTTCAGACAGCTATTCTTCAATTGAGTAATACCATTAGCTTCAGAAGGTCATGGTTAGTATAAATCAACAATTTAAATGCATGAAAAATGTCCAGAAATCAAAACACGATTATGCATAATTTTGAAAGGGAAGCAACTCTGTTCTACCAATTCTTTGCGCGTGGAGACTTGATTTCAATTGGAATAGCTTCCTGGTAATGCCAGGAGTGGATTGGAATGCTTTTTGGACCTTGAATCAACCTCTAGCTATGTTTTCAGTTTTGAGATTTTTAAGAAAAAAATGCAAAGTTGTTCTTGATCTTGGGCGCAGCTCTCTTGTTCTTAGCATTAGGTTTGCAATATGCACATATAGGTGAATGAATTAGGTTAGAAAAACTGGCCCAAAATCCATGTATTCAATGATCTTCAATATTTGATTTTCAAGCATCTTTTACAATCTTTTCTTGCCATGGAACTTGCCTATTTTGGAAGATTTGGTCTCTTGAGCATGTGCACGAAATATTTAGGTCATAAAGAGTGAATATGCTACATAAAAAGATTTGGAAAACATGTTTTAGTATTTTTCTTATATTTAATTTTAATTAAATGAATTAATAGGATTAAAAACTCAATTAATTAATTAAAAATAAGAAAATAACTCCCCTTTGGGTCAATGGATCGTGCATAGCTTTTGGGTGATGATTCATGGAAGAAATTAAGGCCCATTAGCAATTTTGAGGCATTTGAAGCAAAGTTGACTTTTCAAAATTCCCAAAAATTTCCCAACTTCCACAAGGCATATCTTGCTCCATTTTTAAGCTTTGATCATGTTATTGGACATTTTGGAAAGGTATTGGAGTCCTCTAACCAATTCCTTTGGTCCCATGTCATTTTGATTTACCAATCTCAAGTTATGGTCTTTGACTTAAAGTGCCTTTTTGTTGACTTTTGAAAATGACCTATAATGTTGAGATTGATAACTTTTTGTGAGAGCATTTATTGGACTTGAAGTGTGAATATGAGTTGTAGGAAATGTCATTCTCTTCAAAATGAGATTTGGATGTAATTTTTCTGATAAACCATGTGGAAGTTATGCCCTGGTCAATTTGCAGTTGACTTTTTCAGCTGTCCAAATATAGAAACTTTTGCATCTTGAGACTTTTTGAGCCATGCCTTGAGAATCATGATCAAGAATTGATCAAATGATGTTTGTGGCTTCAAAATAAGATGTTGACCAAAAATTTGGACTTTTGACTGTCAAATGACCATTTTACCCCTATAGTTGACTGTGAAGCAATTAGGGTTTTTGACTGTGCAATTTTGTGTTGTAAGTCTTGAAACTTGGCATAAGGATGCTTGACAATGTTTATAGGCATGTGGGACTTGTTTGGACCCTTGGAAACTTCAATTTCTTTGCCAGAACCAAAACCCTACTTTTTGACTGTTAGGAGGCAATTGGACTGTGCAACCTTTGAGAGATTTTGAACCTTGACCTTGGAAAACCTTGAAGAATATGGGAGGGAAAATTTTGGGGTACAACAGTTGCCCCTGTTCAATCTTCTTAGACCTGAGGATGTAGATTGGCTGGCGTGCCTTTCGTAATCCGAAGGTGGAAGATGATTGAACACTAGAGTGCCCAGAAATTTGCGCTCACATAGTAGTGTGACGGTGGGAATGGGCTTACAGATGCCATTTGGAGATTAGTGGATAGGAGGATGGGCTTAAGATGCCATGTTGAGAGGTGATGGATATGTGGATGGGCTTATAGAGTCCATCTGGGTGTCGATCGCGTAAGAGTTTCCTTAGCGAGAACTTGCGTACCTGAAAAAGAAAGATAATTACCTGGCTTGTTACAGGAGTTGATCTTCAGACTCTTGTGTAGATGTGCCCTGACTGGTTACAGGAATTGAATCCTTAAACCTCTTCAGACGTGCCCTGGCGAGATACAGGAATCGAGTCTGGAGTTTCAAAAGGTGATGAATGAATCAGGGATGGTTACTACCTCAACGGGACGATGAGAGAACCTTGGGCGATTACTACCTCAACAGTAACGATGAGAGAATCTGGGGAGATTACTACCTCAACAGTAACGATGAGAGAATCTGGGGCGATTACTCACTACAAGAAAATTGGCAGATTGCGACAGGTATTTTTGTAGATCACGACGGTTAAAACCGTCGCAATTTGCTTTCCACGACGGTTGCTTTACCGTCGCAGAAGTGTGTGTCCCCAACCTATTTCGCGACGGTTACAAAAACTGTCGTTCAAGTTTACGACGGGTTGATACCGTCGTGACTATCTTTTGAGTTTCTTTTAATTATTGATGGCGACGGTTCGATACTGTCGTGAATATCTTTTGAAATTGATTAAATTGTTTATGGCGACGGTTCGATACCGTCATGACTTTTGTTGATTACGACGGTTCGGTACTGTCGCCATGACTTTTGTTTATGTCTTGATTTTTTTTTATTTTTCTATTATATATATTTTTTATTTAAATTATTATCTATGTAAAAAATTTTAAATATAGTTTTTTTTTGTGTTATTTTTTTCTTTAAATTATTTCTTCTTTAATATATTTATTTATAGTATTATTTTTTGTTTTATTTTCTATCACTTTGTAATATAGTAAAAATAATTTCAATAAAAAATATTTAACATCAAATAAGCATTATAATATCCAAAAAAATGTGTGTTCCATAATCATGTAAAATGCGAGTTCCATAATCATGTCAAGTAGTACAAAAAACCCAAAATATATCAATTTCTAATTTTATAATAATAAGTATCATTATGCCAAAAATACATGAGAAAGTTCACAATCTAATTATCTCGATCATAGCAAAGTCTAATTTGTCCCCCCTGAAGTTCCATTATCTCCAATACGGTAGCTAGACTCAGATGAACGTCTACCATCAACAGGATCAGAATTGTATTCTTTAACAAGAAGTGGGTGATCACAAGCCTGACGGAGACGTAAAAGCATCAAAATAATATTTGCATAGTTTTGATTCACTGTACGACAGCAACATATGCCTGCAAATTACAAGCATTACTTTTCAAAATTACAAACTGAGAACATCCATCAGTGTAGAAATATCAGATGAACAAAATCATATAATTCGTAATTGACATGCCCACTGTCAAAATAAATTTCTAGACACTAATTTAAAAAAGAAAAGACAAACAGTATCATTACAGTATGCCCAAGTTAATATAAGAAATTTGAAAAGAAATAAACTTTAAATTGAGAACGTGAATCAGCTTCTAACTTTTTGTAGTATACCAAACTCCAAAATATTTAAAAGGTCCTATGTTGTGTTTGTCCCTTACTTTTTGCTGAAATTCTTTCACAAGTACATATAAAATTCTATTACCATTTACATTTTATTAAAATGACACAATTTTATTTTGTGTTGCATTTGTTTTAAAAAGGCTAGTGATACAGTTTAACATTTAGCTCTTAAGTTATAATCATTACCCATCAATTTATGTTGCACATGACTACTAAAATTTATAACTTAACATCCCACTGCAATGGTAAATGAAATGAATTATGAATACCTCAGAACCTTCTTTTATGCATTCATCATACTGCCTTGTCTTCAAGTAGCAGGCCATCAAGTTAAGTGAGCATGCCAAAAGAAGTTTTCTACTTTGAAAAGATGGAATCTCTTTGATGTTTTCCTTGGCCTAAAATGTAAAAATTAAAACAAGGTGATATAGACTTATAGTGATAATTTCCTATAGTCTCAAAATAGAGATAAACAACAATGAAAGGTGTGGAGGAGACAGTTAAGCAATCTGAAAAGTCAACCTACCAACTTATACTTCTGCAAAGCATCATCGAACTTTCCTTAAAATCCATACAAAATTAAAAAGCATCAACAAAATTTTATAACAATATTACCCGAGCAACATCCAAAGTGTCAAAACAACCAAAATCTTCATTGTAACAACATTTTGCCCATTCATCGATCAACCATCACAACTCACAACCGGAAGTTTGTAATCTTCGACAACACTACACTTGTTCATATGCAAAGTACTTCATCTTCCAACAATAAGAGGATTTTTGTTCTTGTAAATGTAATAGCTCATACACAATTTCTCTAAAGTTGCAACAGAATGCTGCATAGGATTTAGCTTTATATCCATCATCATTCTCTGCCATAATAACAACAAAACATTAAACAGCCTCCTGAACAGTACCCCTGACAGTGTTGCTAACTTCAAGAACAACATATTTGACAAACTGCCCTTCATGATATCCAGACAACGGATCAGGCACCCATTTCTCTGTAAGTTCAGTAAAATGCACTTTTCCATATGTATGAGGACCAATTTGTACAAGCAGTCCTCCAACACCAGGAAGTATTTTACTAATCCTTCCTCCTAAAATATCTCCTTCACGAATATGTGCTGTCAACTCCTTATTCACAAGGTTAGTTTGTGGCTCTTCATCAGTTCTGAGAGGGAGAGTAGAGAAGGGGCGTAGAACCAACCGCAAGAGCTTCTTCTCCAAGTTGAAACTCAGAACATGACCAGAAATAAGTCTTCCAACATGATATCGATTTTGGAAATCCTCAAGCTCATTGGGTTCAGTAGAACTATCAAGAATATGTAGCTGAGATTTAACATTTCGAGAAACTGCTAACCAGACCCATTCACTTTCGACTTTATATATATAACCAGCCACACATTGCCCAATCTTAAAGTCCAGTTTCTCTGATATATTGTCTCCTATGTCACTGGAACCTGTAACCATTTCAGGTCGGACTGAAAGCTCCCACCGTGATCCATTTCTGCTGCTATCAGCATCATTAGGCTTTGAAACTATTCTTGCCGTCACTGTTTGCCCAATTTTGTAGCCAGAAAATGGATTTTCCAAATCATTTGCATCATGTACCTCTGTTATGTGAACCCTGCCGTGTAAGCCAAATCCAAACTTCAGTTTCAGCTCAAAAGTTTTTATGTCAGTAATCTCTGCCTCAACCAGTGATCCCACTTTATAGCTAGACTTCTTGGTTCTTTTAGAACTAGATGTCCTGTTGACCTCATTCAGATGTAAAAGTAACCTTCCTGATGTTTCAAGGCTTGGAAGAGCCATAACAGATGCAACAACACTCTGTCCATTTAGATATTGTTTCCGCGGAAATCTTTGAGTATTATAGTCATAGAATTGACAACATATATGTTCTCTAGTTAATCATAGAATTACTTGTTAAACAATACTAATAACGTTGAAAATGCAAGAGAGTTAAGAAAACATACCAAGAAAAGTAGAAGGAAATGCTGAACCAAACCTAGCAAATCAGGATGAAATGGTAGAAGTCCTGCAACCCAACCAAGGTTTAAGAACCCCAAAATCTAAAATAAGAATAAGAATTGATTTCCCAAACAAAGGAATCTAATTCAATTTCAAAAAGTAAAACCTTTGTTGCTAGCAAATATGACAGAAGCAACACAAGTCACTCAAATAAACATGCTTTGGTCAGAATCACACTCTGCAACAGAATATGATGCTTAAATGGTTATAAAGTCCTTTTAAAACACCCACTAGGCACTATATAGCATAGCATATCAGAATTCTATAAACTCAGCCATACCTTGAGTTGAGCATTACAACAAACACTTGATGAGCATCATTTTAGTACTATTCTAAAAGAGTATAGAATACAATTATCAAAAGAAAATATGGGTTACTTACCATTGCCATATTAAACTATATATATATTTCTGAGGAAGTTCCTTCAGAAAAGAATAGCACTGATGAACAAGCCAATGGAAATAATGGTGCCGCCAAGACAGATGAACAAAATCCCTCTGAAGTTGCTGCTGCTACTGAGGATAGTGATCAAAAGATGTCAGAAAATGAAAACCCTAAAACAACAAATTAGAAAATCTAACATCAATTCAATATATTCAAACTCAAAATCAATCATCACAAAGAGCTCAACCATAAGATTCAAGTGAATCTCCAATGCTGAAATCAATGGCAGAGAATGAGAGAGATGAGAACAATGCAAAAAGTGATACATAAAACTTACTGTGTTTGAAGAGATGAATGCAGAGGATGTTAAACTGCTTGCTGTGCGTTTTTTGGTGTGAAGATGAGCGATTTGAAGAGATTCCTTTTGGTGTCAAGGGGTTTCTTTCGGTGTGAAGAAGAACGGCATGAACGGCACCGTAATTATTTTTGCAGATTTTTACCCTACTGAGTTGTTGGTATTTTTGAGGATACCATGGGTAAAATTGTCATCGTCAAGATAGATTTCTATAAATTCAACTGCTTAAGTGAGAGAGACTAACCTATCTGGAGATACGGTTCTTCCTTTCCCAAGAAAACGACGATGACCTTGAACAACCCGTGCCATGTTTCCAGGGTAAGAATGTACAAACACATCGCTTTCAATAGATACAATATAGTCAAGAGCAGCCATTTGAGATGCGTGATTTGAAAATGGTTCAAGTTCGTCAATAGATGCCAACTTTTCCTGATATTAGTTACATAGACTAAATCAAAACAAGTCTAAACAATGGTTTATAAATTTTTACAAAAGACAACAACAAAGTATTGTATAGTTTCTACCTTGCTCATTAAAAACGGATATCGCGATCGCAGTTCAGTCATATGAGACTCACCCCCATATATCTCCCCTGCAGCAATATATATAGGAGTCCTTGTAGGATATCCAAGAGCACTAAGGAAAATTCCAACTTCCTTTGGAGTTAAGGGACAATTCCCTTTAGACCTCTCTTCAGTAGGATCAATATGCTTTCTTTTCCAATAAGTAGTATTCTCTCTTCAAGTTTAGTTCATCAGATATCAGAAATAAAGCACAAGACCTCAACAAATTCATTACCTGATAATTCGTAGTTCTTCGGCCTCAGAAGTTGATAAATCATGCGTGCATCCGCTAAATGCAAGCATATCCTTCTCGTAACGTAAGTGTAATGTGATATAAGGACCAAATGATCTCATCCTCTCCACCAATAACTGCAAGTAACACAAAAAAGAAGAAAAAATCGAAATCAAAAGGTCATAGTATAGTAAAAATTAAACAAAGAAGCCAATAAGAGTTAGAATCTAGTAATATACTTTTCCCATCTTTTCAATGCGAGGAGAGAAACGAAGAGCTTCAAAACAAGCACGACAACGAAGCTTTTGAATATCTAGAGGTAGATTGTTATTCGCTAATCGAGAATCGGTTTTGGAAGCTTGAATAACCTTTAGAAATTTCAACAAATTAGACAGTAAGATCAATAAATCAATAGTAAGATAGAAATTTATATACCAATAGGTTACTTACTTTGAAATCATCCCAAAGGGCTGAAATCTCTTTTTGATAGTACTCTATACCAGACCAGCTTTTGAACTGCTTCACCATTTTGGTTGCATTAGCCAGATTCTTGGGAAGTTTCTTGATGATTTTTATATCATCAGCAAGAGAACTGATAAACCTCTTTTCATCAAAGATATCAGAGAAATTGCTGCAAATACATCAAGCAATGAACTATAAAACATAATATGTAAAATCAAATAACAGAAACCCAAAAGAACTCGATAGAATTCAAAAGTTACCTATTATCTTTCCAACAACGGCACCTGAGCTATGCAACAACGGCCTTTTCTCATGTGCGCTGGTGATGGTGCCTTACTAGAGGAACGCCTTACGGGCACTTGTTTGCTTTCTTGAAATGAGCTAGCTGTAGCCAGGGATCGTCAACGAACCTTAGCTATTCATTGGATCCGTCTCTAGCCGCATTAAAGCCCGGATGGAAAACCCCAGGAAATACCTGGCAAGCCCCTGCTAAACCGCATCTGTTTCGGGTACAGGGGCTTAGAGGGGTGCTAACCCGGCCATCGGAAAGAAGAAGAGCTCAAGGCCGCCACAACATTAGATGACCTTCCACGGGGTGGCAAGCTTTAGAGAATAGGGAAGTTTTGTTTCTCTTTCAGTTGGTGATTGGGGATTGGCATAGTTCTCTTTTCTCGTATGCCCGGAAAATCAAATTGCGGTACAACTCAGCTTTTTTAACTTTTTTACGGCGACGGGTGTTTTACCGTCGTGCCCATGAGAATTTTTAAAGGTTTTGGGTGCGACGGTTGTTTTACCGTCGTGAAATGAATTTTAGGACAGATAATTTTACCGTCGTGAAAGGTTTAAGGGTGCGACGGGTGCTTTACCGTCGTGATATGCCTTTTAGGACGGTTAATTTTACCGTCGTGACTAGTTGTTGGTTAAAAAATCAATGTTAAAAGTGTTAAATGGGGGCCGACGGTTGTTTTACCGTCGTAATAATAATATTATGATGGTTAAATATATCGTCGCAAAATAAATATTAGGGATGGTTGGTGTCAACTGTCGTAAACACTGTCTCTATATGTCAATTACGACAGTTATCACATAACTGTCGCAATTTTTGTGTCGTTAAACACTAATTTTCTTGTAGTGACTACCTCAACAGTAACGATGAGAGAATCTGGGGTGATTACTACCTCAACAGTAACAATGAGAGAATTTGAGGCGATTACTACCTCAACAGTAACGATGAGAGAATCTGGGGCGATTACTACCTCAACAGTAACGATGAGAGAACCTTGGGCGATTACTACCTCAACAGTAACGATGAGAGAACCTGGGGCGATTACTACCTCAACAATAACGATGAGAGAACCTTGGATGTCTTCTACTGAGTCCTCATCAGGAAAATCTTTAGGAATCGATTTAACTGGACTAGAGAAGGCCTTTGACTGGATCGGCATCAAAAAAATCTTTAGGAGTCGATTTAACTAAACCAGGCAAGGTCTTGGAATCTTCAGCTGGAATAAGAATCAGGGAGATCTTAGGGTCGATCTGACTGAACCAGAGAAGGCCTTTGACTGGATCGGCATCAGAAAAATCTTTTAGGAGTCGATTTAACTGAACCAGGCAAGGTCTTGGAATCTTCAACTGGAATAAGAATCAGGGAGATCTTAGGGTCGATCTGACTGAACCAGAGAAGGCCTTTGACTGGATCGGCATCAGAAAAATCTTTAGGAGTCGATTTAACTGAACCAGGCAAGGTCTTGGAATATCTTCAACTGGATCGGCATCAGAAAAATATTTAGGAATCGATTTAACTGAACCAGAGAAGGCCTTTGACTGGATCGGCATCAGAAAAATCTTTAGGAGTCGATTTAACTGAACCAGGCAAGGTCTTGGAATAACTTCAACTGGATCGGCATCAGAAAAATCTTTAGGAATCGATTTAACTGAACCAGAGGAGGTCTTGGTCATAGCTGAGAACTTAACTGGATCTTTCCTGAAAGGTAAAGGTCAGTCATATGCAATGCATGATATGGATCGAGCAATGATGTTCTCAACATAGATGAGATTGTATGGTGTGATGCGTTTATGCATGTATCATGATGTATGTGATGTTTATGAATGTATGTTTTTGTCTAGGAAAGTAAATCCTTGACGGGTGCCGGGAAGTCACATCCTGGGCTGATGTTGGAGAATAGTGCTTTGTTGTTTCCGCTGGGGATGATAGTTGCAAGAATGCCGGTAGGAGAAGATAACTCCGTTGGGGAATAAACTTGGCGAATAGAATACTCTGCGGGGAGAAAATTATTCTAGCGATCTTGCTGGGGAACAGTACTCTGTGGGGAGAGAGGTACTCTGTTGAGATGTTGATGATAACTCCGCTAGGGATACCGTTGTTATGTTGGAAGTGTTAATAGACTCCGCTGGGGATAGGAAGACTTCGTCGGGGACGATCTTTTCGTGGCTTTTGGCTGAGGATAACCCAGTTATATCCTGGTAGGGAAATAACCTTTGAATAAAGCCGGGAGACGCGTTCGTGCTCTGCAGGGGAGAAGCTTCCAGAATCTACTGGGGATAAGCTTCCTGCCGGGCAGATGGATTTAAACTTTCCTGGGGAAATCTTTAGACTGGACTTTCCTGGGGAAATTTTTGAGATATATTGGGGAAGTGGCTCCACTGAATGTCTAGTATACCTCCGGGGAACAATCTTAGATCAAGACTGTCGGGGATGCTTGTTAGGAATGTCTGTATAATTTGCTGAGGAATGTTGCGATCTGCTGGGAATACCCAACTTCCTTAAGGCTGATAGTATAGCTTTGCTTGGGGAGAGTGCATTGACTTGCTGACTCTCTCTCTGGGGATTTAAGATATCTTGGTTACGTTCTTCAGCTGAACCTACCTTGGTACCTTGGTGGACAGAGCCATTAGATCGTTTAGACAACTCATTATGCCCCAGTTCCTGCGGGAGAAGGTACCTGTGGAGATCTTGATAACTGCCGATTTGACCAGTCTTCTTCTGGTAAGCAAGTGACAAGATGCCGGGACATAGTCGTACGCTTTTGATCCCTAACTTTTTCCTGGACCGCCCTTTCGGGTTTTCAGTCTACCGGGATACCCATTTTTGCCCAAGCCGCCTTTTCAGGTTTTCGACTTGCCGGGTGTACAGATTTTCGTTTCATCCCTTATTTTTGCCCGAACCCTTTTGGTTTGCCGGGAAGCCCTTATTTTTGCCTAGGTGTGTCAACCTAGCGGGTCTTTGATTACGCGTAGTATTTTTTCCGACTATATCCATGCTCTCAGAGAGCAGGGAGTTGTCACTGTCAGTAGCGTTGTGTCGTCATACCAGAAGATCTTTGTTTGATCGTCCAATGCCCCAAGTGATCCAGATGGAGGTTTGCCCCTGGCTGTTTGGCCTTTTGAGAGATTCTCCGAATCTTGACTGAATTTCCCCAGATGATGGACAATAATCACGTCTGCCCCTTGATTGGAAGTGCTTTTGTTCACTAGGTATTCATCGTGCGAATTTCCCTGCTGTTCAAACAAATAGTCATATGCAAACAATGTTATATCAAAAATGCAAAGCTTATGTCTGTCTTGAAAATTTTGAAAATGCATTATTTTTCATAAAACAAGTGAATGTTTGTAAAACGTGATGTCAACTCCGTATTTACCGTAGGCCTTAAGGAGTCAGGATACCTTTCGTAACAGTATGCTTTCGAACTAACCCATGCTTCAGCTAGGACTTTTAAGGGTTATAACGTGGCCTGGTTCATGGTTTAAGAAACAAAGGATAAAGTCTCAAGTTATTTGTACCCACCCGCTCTTCGTGATGTTCTTCAAACCTAAACTCAGCTGATCGTGCGTTAGACCTTATTTGAGTCTTTGTCCTGATATTCCGGTGATGGTTCGGATTTTGAAAGTTTAGAATAGGCAGTCATTTCCCTTTTTTGTTGAGGGTTTGTAGTACCTCTTTTCTTTTTGATTTCGTTATCCCTGTTTTTTTTCCTGAACTGTTTCTTTTGTGGTTACAGTCAGCGGGATGCCCCAGTTTTGTAAGTCTCCTTCGTAGGTTTTGACTTAATGGGCTTTTATTTTGAGAAATGATGACTGCCTGTCTTTACGATTATTCGGAACCATCACTGTCTTTTGTTTTGTAAGGACTCCTTTGGTGCCATTCGTTGTGCACTTGGATCAACTGAGAGAACTACCCTGCCCCAGGTTATGATTAAGGGTTTTAATTTTCGAAAAGAAAAACTCCTACTTCTTTGGCTCAAAGGGGTTGACGAGGGATTATCTTCCTTATAACTCCAGTGTTTAGGAATTGAAACAATGCCTGTACCTCATCAGTGGGGTCTGTTCAAAAGCATACTGTAAAGATGGCGGTATCGTTTTCGTCATCCTCCCTCAAGAGGCTTAGAATTATCAATCGAGAGTTGATCACCACAGAATATGAAAACAGTTTGAATATAGCGAATGCGAATATATTGATTCAAAACAGACATGTGCGATGCATTGATAAAGTAATAAAGTTTGCTATGACAATAATTGTTTACACAATCAAAAGAAAATTACAACTTGAAAAATTCTAATGAACAAAAATCCTCTAGTTTGAACTAGTCATTTCTCAGTGGAACATTTTCATCTCGCCATTTGGCATGAACTCCAGCACCCCTTCGTCAATCAAGTCCTGAATTTTGTTCTTCAAGGTCCAACAGTCGTCTGTAGCATGCCCCGTGCTGTCTGAATGATAAGCGCAGCGGGTGTTGGGGTTATACCTTGAAGGTGTCATATTCGGATTCTTAGGAGGGTCCTTTAGAGTGATCAGATTGACCTCCAGCAGGCGCTTCAGTATAAAGGATGATGGTATATCAGTCTCCGAGAAATGTCTTCCAAGCGTATATCGTTTACGCTTACTACCCCGTTGAGGCTGGGCTCGTGACCCTGAAGCAAGCTGAGGAGATTTTCCTTTGTCTTCTAGCCCCGCATGTGGTTGAATGCTGACTGGAACTTCAACCTTGGTTGTTTTCCCCACTGGATTATTTTGAAGCAGCTTGGTGACGAGGACCCGAAGCTCTTCCTGTTTTTTAGCTAAGTCCTGAATGAGAGTCATTTGGCCCATCAACTGCCCCATCATTTGAATCTTCATGGTTGCCAACTCAATTTGTAGCCCTTCCAGCTGATCGTTCCTGATACCCCCTACATTCCCTAGGGTCAATTTCCTAGTGAGGAGAGCCTTTATTTCTTCTTGCCCCTGGGATAGGTTCAAGAACATTTCTCGCAGTTGGGCGTTCTGAGCCCAGAGATCTTGGTTGTCCGGTTGGAAAGCCATTGCTGAAATAAACAGCGAAGATGGTGAGTGACCTGTCAAGAGGGTACCTGTAATGCGATGGTATGTATGATATGTATGCAATGTTTTCAAGGACCTCGCAGGGTAAACAAGAAGATTGTTAGCATTTGAATTTGTATCTTGATTGAAGGAACTCCATGTTGCTGAGAATCCTTCTTCAAGGGTCAAGTCTCACCATATCGAGTGGGTCATAGCCCCTGACAACTTT